ACATACCATTAAAAAAAAAAAAAAAATGAAAAAAAAAAAAAAAAAATTAAAGTGGCCAAAGGTACCATTTTGGGCAGAACTCAAATTTTCATTCTGTTTATGCATCAAGTCTGACTAAAGTCTAGGTATTGGAGACCATACACTTTTAATTGAAAGCATGGTAATTCAGATGGTAGGGGAATCACAGAAAGTTGGACAACACCTTTGATGGAAAACATTTAATAGGATTCTTACTATATTTGTGATTCTCCAGAAATGAATGAGCTCTGTGCAAATTCTATACAAGGTATAACATATGTGTTCTGTGGATACCCACACTTTCATCTGACTTCCTTCTCTCAGGTTAACACTCATGAGATATGTCAAATATGTATGTATATCCTTAAGTAATACAGGCTACAAAATGAATTAAAGTGCATAAAGTTTACACCTGGAAATATCGGCGTAAGTTACAAGTTTTCATAGGAATCATAAGACACATGTAGAAGTTATTTTATATCCACACATATTATTTTGTCTTTAAAGCTTACAAAGCCATAACTCTGTATCACTGCCTGACTAGTACAGATAAAACTCAATCAACTCCTACATATTATCCATTTTTTTGCTCCAGTAACTCAAAATATGTGTGGGCAAGTCTCAACAGGGCAATAAAGAGGTGATCCCAGCTTGGTCCTCACCACTGATGAGAGATACATTTAGTTCTGTAACTGCAGACTTCTTCGCTGAGTTTAATATTGTTTAGTATGCTAGTAGTGGCAGGGCTCTTTCAGTTTTACTGTTCAGCTAATTTAGGGGTAAAGGGTTACAATCTCTTGAAAGAGACCAGGCAAATAAACTTAACTCCATCATAATTTATACATTACCTGTCTTTCTCACTATAGTCATAAGAAGTTAGCATCACCTGCCTTTAATGTTGCTTGGGCTTGAGAAGTCTTGCCACTTTAGGGATTCCAAGGAACAGTAAGAATGGCTTGACGACATGCAGGATGAAGTGGCAGCCATAGAACAGTCGCACATCACTTGTTGGCACAAAGTCAGAAGCCACCTGGAATGCCACCATGAGAGCCAGTGTGCATACCATTCTGACAATGATGTTGTCCTGCACCTGGCTGTGTATTCTGATAGACAAAGAAACATTCATTACAAGTTTTGAGGTTTTCATGTTGGTAACAGTTAAGACTGTGGTCCTTGAAAAGGAATATGATTTCTCACAAATCCACTTTCCTCCTTCAAAACAATACTGTGTTCCTGGAATGGGCCGTCCTTTATCATTATACCAGTTCTCACCTATGACAAAAATTTAATGTGCTCCTTCCTACAAAACATTCAAATGGGACTTCATATGGCTCCATTTCCTAACCTCTCCCTTGGGTCTCTCTTGCACCTTCCTATATATCAAGTCAGTTCTTCAACCTACATATATCAACATTGAAAATGGAGGCAGAATGTTCTTCTGAATTGGTCAGTATCCACCAAGAAGATACATTGATATCACAACCCAGAAAAGCACAGTCTACATCATTCGCTGCAGTATTGACAATAGACTCACTTGGTCAGAAAATTTAACTGAAATTGGCATAAAAACAGAGGACTCCTTTGAGAATATAAAAAATGAAGACACTGGAGAACTGCATAAAAATCTTCTTGGGCGATAAGCCACATCATGGTTGAAATGAAATTCAACATTTCACAGACTTGCTCTGTCTCCAGCATCAGGTTCGAAACACTGGTTATAACAATTCCACTATGATATATGACGGATTGCCTGGGAGGATTTTAGAGCATTTATTTGGGGCAAAAGCTTGAAATATTACATGCTGAATAACTAGCTACTGTGTAGACCAAGTGGAAACTTGGTCTCCACAGTAGATACACAAACAAGACCGTAAAAATATACAGCATACATTTCTCATCATCAACCTTGATGATGGAGATAGAGACGTCTTAACACGCTGCTTCTTCACCCAACACTGACACTGCTAATCACCTGAGCTTCTGGTACATTTATTAACTGTGATAGCTTTAATTGTACATTAACACACATTAAATCCTCATGCAACTATTCAGGTAGGTGATTACTCAAAGTGGCAACAAGTCACAAATCACACTATACAGGACTACTGAATGAATACAAAATTAGTATTAACACTTTCATCTTCACTGATATTACAAATTCTGAAAGAAAATTAAATAAAACTCTTTAATACATACTTCAAGTTCATATTTTGATAGAGAACCATATTAACAGATTAAATCTGATTTTAATGTGGCTTAACTCAATAATGATTTCCTTTACTTCTTAACCATGCCCGTGTTGTGGGGGTAAATGACATTTAACATTTAGGCACATTACTGTATGACATTCCCACTGCATATGGCAGAAAGAGAGACAGCTGTACCACACATCCACTACTTACCTGGTTGCAATGGGGGCTGCCAGTGCTAGGCCAAACATACTGCCGCAATCACGTACCAGTGAAAAGAGTGGGGTGGTGTTGACATGGATCCACTCCGGATGCTCGCACCATTTGAATGCCAGGCGCACTGACCATTGTGGGTCTATACCTATGTAAATATTTTCACTGTTAATCACAAAACCCCATAGCTCTGCCAAAAAAGTACAAGTGAATTTCATGTGCATTCAGTACAACTGAGAACTCCTGCCAAGCTGCTCAGACCGACTGATCATATCATGAGATAACATTGGTAGCTTTCCTGTATGTACCTGTTTAGCAGCACATCAGTATCATCTAGATAATGTTCAGAGCAGATCACTGTAGTGATTCCAGTACACAATTACTCATAATTATAGAAACAGGTATACGTGAGAGTGTAAAATGGTAAACCAATCAGCAAGAGATAATAAATACTCTTTTAAGAAACTCAATAAAACTGGCTGTACACAGACTGGTAAACACCATGAAACAGTAACAGTCCATGCTGGAGCCAAAAGGTTTACACAAAATCATGTATAAAATTACTTAAGACAAGAGCAATAACTATTCTAATATGAAAGTAAATAAAACAGGCTGTTCATAGGCTAGTAAAGAATTTAAGACAGCAACAAGCCCGTACCAACTCAGGTAGGAGATAAAAAGAATATCGTTTAAATAAGCTTGTCTACCCCTGTACAGGGAAGAAAAGTCATGACATTGGATATCTTACTGAGATCATTTCCAAGGATGTCTTGCAACGTTCCTTGAAGATGAAATGTACAGAGAACTTCATTGTAATGTGGGCATTCTAAATGTATATATGAAATGGTAAGCAGTAGATCACAGTGCACATAGAGTGGTGCTGGGTCACCTCATAACAAACAGCCATGCATTAGGCTAGTGTGCCCAATCCAATGGCTCATGAGCAAGACCTTCTCCTTCCTGATGGAGGACTTCCACGCCTCAACGGGTGGCTTCATTGCCTGCAAATTTATAGTTCTGTGTAGTCATTCATTAATCTTGCCAGGAAGATAAAGCTGCACAGTGAAGATGAATACAAATGTTACTGCCAGGAGCTCTTTCTAACTGCAGCATTCCATGGGCAGAAGCCCCCTTAGCAGCTTCACTGCTGGGCAGGCCTCTACGGCCAGGTACCCAGCCAAACACCTTACATATGTCTGAGATTTGTTGCAGAGTCTCCATGGTGCCTGGGCAATCGTGTCTGCATTTATGGGGACTCCAGAGGGAACTCAGGGAGTCTGCACAGAGAAGGTGACATTATCAAGGCTGGCGATGAATACACAGGAGAGTTCAGTACATGGCATAAAGTTCTCTTGTGAACATGCTGTTAAAACTGTGGAGGTGATAGGAAAACACCTGGCCCTCATATTTGAAGGCACAAGTGGTCAAACTATGAAGCAAGGACCTGTCAGTGTAAATCGCTGTATAGTCTGAGTAGTCAGACAAGTGTTCAGCAAACAGCCAGAGACATGTAAAGGCTGAGGAGCTGAAGATCATGGGTCGGTCATGCGATCTGCAAGGGCAGGAGAGGCAAGAGCCTAATTGGAATGCCATGCAGCAAGTGTGTATTGAGGAGCTGACAGAGGTTCTTGAAGTGAGTAGCACCATGTAGTTCATATCTGTTGCTGTAGGCTAGATGAAAGACCACACCATATGATGGTTGCTTTGGTTTGGTCAGAGTGGGTCTGTATTGCTGAAATCCACAACAAGCGTTCAAAATTGTATTTGTATTCTCCAGAAGCTGCATAAGTCAATGGTTTACCATATGCTCCACGGTCTTGCAAACACAGCTGGTGAGACTAACAGGTCTATAACTAGTTGGGAAGGAGTAGTCCTTTCCTGGCTTGAGTATCGGGACAATTAATGCTACTCTTCAGGCAGTTGGAAGAGTTCTCTTTGCTACTCTGCATTATATGGCTCTGTGATCTGAGAAGCAAAGTTAAGTAATTACTTACTTACTCATGGAGCTGAGCCCTTCTGGAGGAACTGCCAATTCTGCAGCTACTCAAGAATTTCCCAGCATTTTATGGAACCCGAAGGTTCATCACCGTGTTCACAAGAGCCCTCCACTGGTCCCTATCCTGAGCCAGATCTATCCAATCCATACCATCCCATCCTATCTCTCTTAAGATCCATTCTAATATTGTCCACCCACCTATGCCTTGGTCTTCCCTGTGGTCTCTTTCCTTCTGGTTTTCCCACCAATATCCTATGCAAAGTTAAGTAATAATAATAATAATAATAATAATAATAATAATAATAATAATAATAATAACAACAACAACAACAACAATAATAATAATAATTTATGCTTATATTCAAGTAGATCCAATTACAGGGCGAGAAACAAGTTGTCACACCACTGGATATAGGATGCGTCAAAAATAAAAACAAATGTTCCAACCAATCACTAGAACAAGTCAAAATAACATAATATAAAACATAAGATAACACAGTCACTAAACATAATAAAATGTGACTACAACAAGACTTAAATACTAGGTGTGAAGGCGGGGTCGAATATCTCCACCATGACTCTGCGAGTCGTAGGAGGCGACGAAAAGGAAAGTCTCAAATCTGAAAGAGTAAAATATGGTCGCGAGTCCCAAGGACTCGGATCCGAGAAGGACTTCGCTGGCGAGCACCAGAAGCATATACGAAAGACAGATCCGTCCTCTCATCAGAGGGCACCCCACAAAAATAAGACTGTAACTGTCAAACGGTAATAATTAATATCTGGTCATGAGCCCCACTTGGGGCTCGACACCAAGACTTACTGACTGACTGGACATCAGTCGCAATGTGACTTTGACTTTGACTTAAATACTAGATGAAATCATATTAACCTTTTATCTTATGAAATTCATCCCGTTTATAAAAACAATGGATAGAGGTGTGGGATGTCGTATGATATTCTCAATAAACAACACAATATCAAATAATGTATGTTACATCACTCACACATCAAAAGAAAAGCTATAAAAACATATAACATGCATGAACACTAAATGGAATAAATAACTTCACTCAGAAGTGTACTAAAAATTATTATGGTAATAAATACATTCATAAATAAATAAATAAATAAATTCATAAAACAACATGAGATTGTATGTTAAAATATATAAAAGTCATAGTTGGTATGTATGCAGATATGAAATAGATGATTATTTATATATTTTTAGTTAGTTAATAGGACTTGTTAAGGTTAATTTTAGATACTATTTATAAGAACCAAGATCACCCCTTGTGTTCCATTCATAATATTCATTTAAAGAATAAAATGAACCAGCAAGAAGAAACTCTTTTAGAGCCTGTTTGAATTTAGTAATATCATTTAATAGATTCCTAATGCCTTGTGGTAGATTATTGAATATCCTAATTCCTGAATAATATACACCCTTCTGCACTTCAGCTAGTTTATTACTTGGAAAATGTAAGTCAAAACCATGTCTGGTGTTAATGCTGTGTATAGCAGAATTAAATTTAAATATATCTAATTTCTTAACAACAAAAATTGATACAGAAAATATATACTGAGAATATAAGGGCAGAATAGTTAACTGCCTGAACAATGGGCGACAAGAGTCCTTATTTCTTGCCTTCATAATAATTCTCATTATTCGTTTTTGGATTTTAAAAATTAAAATACTATAAGTTGAATTGCCCCAAAATATTATTCCATATGACATAATGGAATATACTGTAACGTGTTGGGTGTATAACGCGACAAATAACTTCACACCGTATTTGATATAGCGAATTTTATTTCACATTTGCACTTACAATCACCCAAATTACAGATTCACAATTACTGCTATCTGCAGTATCACAAATACTACACTCCAAATATAACTGGTTGCTGGCTAACTCGGAACTAACTCGGAGGTAGCTCCAGGACTGAGAACTAACTCGTAGGTTAGTAGAAATCACTCTGAATAGCCTTCACTGTTCCTTATGTAGCCTCGATCGGACAATACAGAAAACGGCCAGGTAATAGGCACCACTATGTCTGGTGCCATTGTGCTAGCAACGCTGTGTACCGCTGTTACTACCGTCGTCTTTCGCAACCATTGTTTACCCGCGCTGCCTAGCAACCGCAGTACCCCTTGGTGACGTCACCGCTATTGACTCGCGTTGCATAGCTACCAGGATGCTAGGACTCGGCCAACTTCGGCTGGCGAGGGGGAGGAGGAGCGTCATCCATAGCTCAACATGTCACACTGCTCCCTCCTTAAGGCTGTTCGTCTCGAATAGCCTAATGGTGCACCCCTGTTCCTTTTACATCCCTTATCTGTGCTTGCAGTGTCTCCTGCTGTTTCGGCTACTCTTCTTTCAGCGACTATTCTTCGTCCGTTACATCCACTCCCCTCTTAAGACAAAGCTCGTCTCGAGCGGTTTCCTTTCAGCTCGCCAGAAGATCACATTCATCCATCGCTTTCTCCCATGGCACATTCACTCTCTCTGGGGAGGCCAGTTCTTCTATTTTACCGGCTCCTCTTCTGTGCCCTGCGTCTTTTTCGTTTTGGAGGGGGTCGACCCCTCCACAGTGTCCAGATTTTACTTCTCTGTAATGGGACAGATGTGAAAGTTCACTTTTCGATTTCCAATACCTTTGTCCTCCTGTGGGTCTTGTTAAATTCCCACTTGCTTCCAAGTCGTAGCTGGTCCTCGAAGTCTCGATACTTGATTTCCTTGGTGCCTTCCGGGTGCACCAGTTGTTTCCATCTGGGAGTCCATCCTTTCTGGGTTCCTCTCGTAGAATGGTTTCTGGTCCAATTCTTCTGCCTTCCCTGCTCGGCTGGCGGTCCTTCTTTCCGCTGGCATCCGAAGGTTCCCTGGGGAGTTTCCTTCTTGAAGTCATTTCTCCAACGTCGTGCCACTGTCGCGCGACGGGATATCTTCCTACAGATGGCAGCCAACTTTATCCGGGACGCATGATCTCCTCGGGTCCCAGATTTCCTGAAGATGTTCCTTTTGCGCCACGCCACTGTCGCGCGGCGGGACACCTTACAGGCGGCGGCCAACTTATTCTGGGGTCCGCAATTTTCCCATGTCGGATTCTTCTTATTTCGTCGATTTCGGTCCCTGCGCCTTTTCTTCTTCGGTTCTCTGACTGGCATTACTTCGGCGTCTTGTACGGGTACCTCTAGTAATTCTGCCGCCTCAGGTTTCCTGTGCACTGAAGCCGGCTTTCCATCTTCTGGACGTGCCTCCGTTTCTTGGTAGACCATCGTCACTCCGACCGGTATCACAGTGGGGACCTCTTCTTGTTGTGCCGTCGCAGGTTTCATGTCCACTGGGCAGGCCACCATCTGCTTTTGGGTAATCGGCATCAATTCATCTTCAGGTTCACTGAACGGTATCACTGCTACGTCGTCTACAGGGACCTCTTCTTGTTGTTCCGCCTCAGGTTTCATGTCAACTGAGGCCGGCTTTTCTTCTTGCCAAGCATCCATATTGGCTTGCAACCTCTTCTCTCACATGGCGGCCGTCCTTTCTTGGATGGCTCTTGTCTCCGCGGCCATTCCTTCTCGCCAGGCTTTCGAGTCGGCCCTCATTTCCTTCAGCATTTCAAGTATTAGCTGAATGTATTGCTCCTCCATTTTTTCGTAAATTCAATACTTCTTCCTAAATCAAGGCGTGTTTAAGCTCGTAAACCAATTCAGACACCAAATTGTCACGTGTCTTGAGTTCGAATCTCGTCGGTCACGTGTGTAAGTCCAAATCCCACTTCTGACACCAATGTAATGTGTTGGGTGTATAACGCGACAAATAACTTCACACCGTATTTGATATGGCGAATTTTATTTCACATTCGCACTTACAATCACCCAAGTTACAGATTCACAATTACTGCTATCTGCAGTATCACAAATACAACACACCAAATATAACTGGTTGCTGGCTAACTCGGAACTAACTTGGAGGTAGCTCCAGGACTGAGAACTAACTCGTAGGTAGCTGCCTTGAGAACTCACTGTGAATAGCCTTCGCTGCTCCTTATGTAGCCTCGATCAGACAATACAGAAAACGGCCACGTAATATGCACCACTATGTCTGGTGCCGTCGTGCTAGCAACGCTGTGTACCGCTGTTACTACTGTTCTCTTGCAACCATTGTTTACCCGCGCTGCCTAGCAACTGCGGTACCCCTTGGTGACGTCACCGCTATTGACTCGCGTTGCATAGCTACCAGGATGCTGGGACTCGGCCAACTTCGGCTCCGCTCGGCTCACTTCGGCTGGCAAGGGGGGGAGCGTCATCCATAGCTCAACATGTCACAATACATATGCAAAATAAATCATCCTTAAACTCTCCAGAGTCATAACTGCAGATAGGGTTCTAACAGAATAACTAGCCGCATTCAGCTTGGTTACCAACTGATTTATTTGATCTTTCCATGGTAAGGTATTATCTATGATTAGTCCTAGGAATTTTGTATCACAAGTATTTTTAATTTTAACATCCTTATAGTTTAGATTTATGTTTGATGTAGTATTTACTTTTGATGAAAAATGCACATAGTTAGTTTTGTTAAAATTAAATGATAACGAATCATTCAAAAACCATGTGTCTATTTTGTTCAGTGTCGTTTTCAATACCATTATATGTTCCACAGAATCAGAATTGTAACACAGTATGCTGTATCATCAGCATACAAAATTGGTTTTGATATTTTATTTATTAAGTAAGGCAAGTCATTAACATATAAAAGAAATAACAAGGGGCCAAGTATTGAACCCTGTGGCACACCTTGTTTAACTTTCTGCCAATCAGAAATACCCATAGAATAATTATTATATATTAATGTTCTTTGATATCTGTCACTCAGGTAGGATTCAATCAGTCTTCCAATACTGCTATTAATACCATAAAATTCTAGTTTGGATAATAATACACTGTGATTTACAGAATCAAATGCCTTGGTTAGATCACAGAATAGTCCTCCCACCGATAATTTACTATTCAGTGCCAATAAAATATTATTTATTAGATTATACGTAGCCATATCAGTGGATGATTTAGACATGTTCTGCGGTTTCTTTCAACAATTTAAGAGGACTGTAATTGTTAGAGTTAAAAACAGAGGTAAATGGGGCGCCAAGTGTGCTAACATCTACCTGAGATGTGATGGCATTACTGCCAATTGATATTCCAGGCATGGAAGTGTGGTTATATCCACCTGACATGCGCCATAATTTCTTCCGGGCAACATTAGAATGGGTAGAGCTGGAGGGACTAGAAACAGAAGTCTCCCATGATGTGAGCTTGGCTTCATGGACATGTTTAGCCTTGGCACAGAGGCACTTTAAAGTGTAGGGTGGATATTAAAGAGCTTAAGAGCATACTTCTGGACAGGGACAGTGTTGTTACATTTATCTGTCCAACAAGGGACAGGTATGCGCTGTGGTCTGGTGGATGACCATGGGACAGAATTCAAAGCAGCTCAGTGCAGAGTGCTCATGAAATGTTCCGCCATGGAGTCAATAAATGGGAAATCTAGGTCCTCAGAACTCACTGACTGCATCAAGGCCCAGTGGAGCCATGTCCATATAGTATAAATGGGATGTGACTGCTAAGTTAGCTCAGAAGTTTCAAGATGAGATCTTGGGTTTCAGTGTCTGACAGGACTTCGTATGAGGATGCTGCTTGATCCTCATACAAAGTCCTGTCAGACACTGAAACCCAATATCTCACCTTGAAACTTCTGAGCTAACTTAGCAGTCACATTCCATTTATCCTATGTGGACATGGCTGCACTGGGCCTTAATGCAAAATTTCCCCCTCATGCACTTGGGCAAAAGAAAAATAGCTGAGTGTTGAAGATGGCCTCCACCACCACCAAACAGCAGACTCAGTACAGCTTGTGAGACTGGGGCTGTGAACATTTACAACTTAACTCATACAGAAACCCAGTACAATGTCAAAACAGTATGCTAGTGATTTAGTTCTTGTTTGGGAATCTTGCCAGGCCGGGTAACACAATGAATTCTTTTTATCTCCTTTACTGACAATCAGATACTACAATCTTGAACCTGCTTTATACTGGTTTCTTGCCTGGCTTATGCTTTGATGCTGAAGAAGTAGGTGACATGTTCCCTTCAGTAGACTACATGGCATTACATCCCATAAGACAGAATTTTTCATAACCACTGCTGTGAGCATGTCCAGTCCTACATCCTAACAACAAATCTGAAATTTTTTTTATTGTACCTTTGGAAAATAAGGAAACTTGTATCCACAAACACATGAGTAAATAGAGTAGGTGGAAGGGAAATAAAATGCTGTCCTACATACCTAGTAACCTCTGTAACCAGTATGCACCAAATGAGACTGCAGTCATGACAACACCACATAGGAACATTTTCCAAGAGGATGCTGAATGCCATGTTTCTGTCAGTGTGTATTGCCCCTTATCAGCAAACAGCCTCGCAGTAAACATTCCTGAAAGTACACTGTATCATAAAACAAATCCTCATGCTCATTTATAGCGTTAAAATTTCTTAATAGTATTGTCATGCGTTAGTGACTAGACATGAGGTTTACACTGATGATTGGATTTACTGAACTCATAACTACAGGTAACAGTTTCATGGATCTACACACTATACTAAACACTGTACAGCAGCATACATAAAGTCTTCCATGTCTTCACCAATCATTGCTTGGAGGTTCGTCTGCTCTTGTACATTATTGCTGGCTGACTACCATCACACAACTCACTCACTGCCCCAACTGTCAACTCTCAACTATCTAACTTGTCCCATTGCTTCTCGTTATACAGCTTTGGGTCACGATCACACAGAAAACACATCTCCAACAGGTTTTCCAGTGCTGTGTGTTTATTCCTTGTGTAGCACTGACTCACTTGTCTGATGACATAATAGCATGTTTACTGTGCCTGTGCCTAGCAAAGGGCAATATATCTTTTAAGCTACTCAGTCATGTCACAATATTTATGGAAATGCACTGGTAATGTCGTATCTGAATGATTTTGGAAGGATGCGAAACTGAGTGTGGCCTATTTTGAGGGCCCACTCCAGCAGCTGCCTGCAACAACTGAGCAAAACCACAAAAATCTTAACCAGGATGGGGTTCTACTGAACACAAAGCAAGAGTGCCAAATACATTACTGCTTATTCATGAATAACCATGCTACAAAGGGTCTCTGAACTACGAGTAATTACTACTATGTTACTGCAGCTCTCAATTTCACCACTGAATGTTCCAGCAAGAAAATAATAGTGACAGCAACAAATAAACTATGGAATTGACTGCCATTGTATTATATTGTCGCGTGTTTTGTGCGTATAACGCTACAAATAAGTTCACGCCATCGTTTGGTATAGCGAGTTTATTCCTTCGCTCGTCTTACACACTTTACAATCATTCCCGTCTGCAGTGTCACAATCACTGCTTACAATAACTTGGCGATGCTGGACTATCTTTTCTGGCGGTTATCCCAAGACTGACTTCCAAGATGGCTCGGTCACGACTGGCTTCTTAGCTGGCTCGATGAAGACTGAGACTTCTCGTCGAAACTGGGCTTTTATAACCTTGGCTGCTGTTAGGCAACGAACCCTTTGTTATAACCATGGAGACTCCTGTTAGAACTACAATGGAGCAATTGTTGTCTCCTCTGTAACGGTCTATTCTAGCGTTTCCATAGCAGTGACTCTTCTGGAATGCAAACACGTTACATTGCTCCCTTCTAAAGGTTGTTCGTCCCCGAACAGCCTAACGGTTCTCCCTCGGTTTCGTTTCCGCGGTGTTCTGTTGACAGTGTCTGCATTCGGTCTTGGTGTCCTGCTGGCATCTTTGTGCATTGTTCGTCTAACCGCATCCGCCCCTCTCTTCGGTGGTGCTCACCCCCGAGCACTCCCGTGGTCCAGAATTTGTCGGTTGCCTTGTCTCACATTCATTCGTTCTCCATTCATTCTTGTTGGGGAGGCCGGTACTTCTACGTTACCGGTTCCTCCCATAAGGGCCGTTTCCCTCTTTCCGTTTTGGAGGGGGTCGGCCCCTCCACTTTTTCCTTGTTGTAGGCCGACGGGAGATCCGGCTATGCGCTTCTTGATCATTAGTCCCGTCGTCTTCCCGTATGTCCTGGGGATTTTTCTATGGGGCTTTATTCCTATTCCCCTTATTCTATTGCGGTTGCCCCCGTTGTCTCTTCCAGGCATGTATCCTCTCGCGTTTCCTCCCGGTATGTTGTCCCTTACCCAGTTCTTTCTGGGGATCCTGTTACGCCGTGCTACTCTGACACGGAAGGTCGTCCCCTCGCTGGCGAATCCCAACCTCTCGTGGGGTCCACACTTTTTCTGGGTGGTGTTCCTGAGGATGTCTGTCTTGAGGTTTTCCACATTCGCCCGGCGTATCGTTCTTCTGTGGTCGACGGCCAATTTCTTCCACTGGCACCCGAAGGTTCCCTTGGGAGTTTCCTTCTTGAAGTCTTTTCTCCAACGTCATGCCACTGTCGCGCGACGGGATGTCCTTCTGTTTTTGACGGCCAATTCCTTCGGGGGTCCACGATTTCCCCGTTGCAAACCCTTTGCTTTCTGGTGGCGGCGCTCCGCGGCCAGTTTTCGGTCCCTACGCCGTTTCTTCGGTTCTCCGACCGGTATTTTCGGGGCGTTTTCTACGGGGACTTTTCGATGCTCCATTACGGACTGCATCGCTTCAGGGTGGGGCTCAATCTTTTCGTGGGTGGTTCTCTTCTCTTCCCCCCAGGCTTTCCAATCGGCCATCAGCTCTCTGTGTTGGGCGTCTTCCTTGCCCTGGTCAGCTTTTCTGTTGGCCTCCATTTCTTCCTTTTCGGCCTCCCTATCGGCCAACGCCTTTTCTTGGTCAGCTTTTCTATCTTCTCGCATGGCCAGCAGGAGTTCCATTAACTGCTGCATTTCCATTTTATATCAGTGAGGTACTCGATGCACAATAATTAGTGTGTGGTGCGTGTTAAAGTTCGAAGTCACTTCTGACACCAATTGTCACGTGTCGCCGGTATTTTCGGGGCGTCTTCTACGGGGACCCCTCAATGCTCAGTCACGTGTGTAGCTCAATCCCACTTCTGACACCAGTGTAGCGTGTTGGGTCTGTCACGCTACGAATAGATTCACATAGGCCTCAAATTAAGTAGAACCTTTATTGTTCTTCCGCTTACACAATCAAGAGTACAACTACTATTCACTGTGACACCTCGACTATCCTCTGCGACACTCTACTTCGAAGGCTGGATAAAGGCTAGCTTCTCCGAAGGCTTGATGACGGCTGGCTTCTTTGCTGGCTCTTCCGAGACTCTCTTCTCCGGAGACTATTCCGAGACTGAAGGCTTCGTGTCGAAGCTGGGCTATTTATAACCTTGGCCGCTGATAGGTAACGAACCCTCTGTTATAACAGTGGAAACGCTGCATTGTTGGCTCCGCGTTTCCTACGCAATAACCCATTGTTATAACCATGGAGATTCCTGTTAGAACTACAATGGAGCAATTGTTGTCTCCTCTGTAACGGTCTATTGTAGCGTTTCCATAGAAGTTACTCCTCTGGTTTGCCGACACGTTACAATATCTTCTCTCTCTCTATATTTTTCACAATTACATTGAGATGAAGCCCATGCCTGGTATAACATGATCTATCCAATTCAATTTCCAGTATTTTCACATTACTCTCTGACTTCATTATTTTATGCATCTTCCTATTGAATACTTTCATTTGTTCACTAACACCTGAGGNAATGGGTATAATGGGTACAGCTAGTATAATACGAGGGGAAGTCAATAATTATCCGCAATGCAGTTGTATTTGTGTTTCTGTTGGCACCACTGTCGTTTTGCGTAGCATCGCCATGCATAGTTTTCTTGTCATTATTTCTGCGCAGGTTTGATGTTGCTAGGTCAGTTCCATCGTCGCTGCCTTGCCGTTAATCATGGCTGCTCCACTTTCTGTTTGCACCAAAGAAGAGCAACTTTCAGTGATCCGGTTTTTGTGGTCGGAAGGTGTATCAGGGGCCGCAATCCATCAAAGACTTTCAGCACGATACAGGAACAGTGTTTTGCCGCAACAGAGTGTCTGCGAATGGACTGAAAAATTAAAAAATGGTCTCACAAGTGTTACACATGAGGAAGGAGCCGGGCGACCATCCATGGCCACAGATGAGGACAGCATTGAGCGTGCACATGACATGGTTCTGTTAGACGAGTGACTATTGATGAAGTGGCAAATCGTCTGCAAATTTAGTCATGGCTCTGCCTACGAAATCATCAACAACAGACTTGGGTTTCATAAAGTCTGTGCAAGATGGGTCCCAAAACAACTCACAGTGTTGCATAAACAAACGCGCTTGGACATCTGCCAACAACATTTGGGTCGCTATGTCTTCTTAGACAGAATCATCACTGGTGACGAAACATGGATCCATCATTGCGAGCCGAGGAGTAAATGGCAGAGTATGGAATGGAAACATCCACAATTGCCCAGCAAGAAAAAGTTCAAAAACCAACCATCCGCAGGAAAACTGATGCTTACAGTTTTTTTGGGACTCACAAGGCCCAGTACTGGAACATTATCAGGAGAGGGGCACAACAATATAGAGTGCTTGTTACAGTGAGATGCTTACTGACAGGCTAAAGCCTGCAATTCGAAGCAAACGCAGAGGACTACTGTTGAAATGTGTTGTGTTGTTGCATGACAATGTCCGGCCACATACTGCTGCCTACACTGCTGAAACCCTCCGGAAAGTCAAGTTTGATGTAATGGCTCATCCTCTGTATAGTCCTGATCTCGCCCCTTCTGACTACCACTTGTTTGGTCCACTCAAAGAGCGATTCACCTCAGACCAAGAAGTGAAGGAAACGGTGCATGCATGGCTCACTGTTTAGCCGAAAACCTTCTTTTCTGAGGGCATCAGGAAGCTTGTGCAATGTTGGACCAAGTGAGTTGAAAAGCAAGGAGACTATGTTGAAAAATGATGCTAATGTAAGTTTTCTATTTGTATTGAAATAAAATTTATAGCTACATTGCGGATAATTATTGGCTTACCTACGTAATAAGTGTACAAAACAAGTTGAAGATGATAAATCAGATAATTTATGGTCTATACAGAACCCAAAATATTAAATTGAATTACCACAACAAGACAGGATTAGGAAACTGTATTAAGACAGACTGAATAGAAATTATGTTTGAGGGCAGATGATTTAGTGAATATACAGTAGGATTATCTGAAAAATGGATTCATGAGGCAGCCCTGGAACCAACAGAAACAAAAGGAAAGAATGCAAACTGGTTTAGTGAAAAAACTAATGCACTTATTAAGAGAAAGAAAAAAGGAACAAAATGAATGTAACGTAATGCAAAATCATGATCAGAATATGTTATACTCAGAAGTTAAAAATTAAGAAAAGAATGCAAAAAAAAAAACAATATTCAGATAAAATATATAAAACATATGTGGCTTCCTGGGTTACCAGAAACCTGGGTATATTGAAGAATATAAGGTAACAGAACCAATTTGGAGGTCATAAATATATCAGATTGGATTCAACATTATACACAACAAAAACAGATAATTTACACAACTAAAAAATTAAGATGAAAAATGTAAAGAAGTTGGAAATAAAACTGAAGAAATTAATATTGTGGCTGTTAAAAAGGAACTAAAGGTATTCATAAGAGAAGAGCAACAGGCTCAGGAAATATAAAAATGGAACTCATAAAGTAATTTTTTGAGATTCCTTTTTGTCCAGCACTAATCCTGATGAATGTAATTTTGTAGTAATACTGTGAATTGTTGCTTTACATGCCACTGCACTCTGCATACTTTCTACAAACTTTTTATAGTTTTCCTTCCAAGAATACTGTACTCCTTAACACAGTTGACTGTATTTGTGTGCACCACAAAGACAAGAGAATGCTAAACAAGCAGCACTACTGAGATAAGCCTTCAAGTACTGGGTGACTATATGGTGGTCTGGTCGCCAGCAATGGACAGATGTAGGCAAACAAATTTCTAGCTGGCTAATATCAAGATAGACTGGATTCACCACATTACTCACACACATCAAGCTAACTAAAGCAGCAACACTTTTTACTTGTATCTGGGAGGCGGTCAGTTCAAATCTCAGTCAGGACACTGACTACTCTGAGGTTTTCCATAGCTTTCCTGAGTCTTATCAGGCAAATTCCAACAGGAGAGTACCCCAAATTTGGCTAAGACTCCTTCTTTCCACATTATTTCCAATTCATTTTCACTAAATCATCTTATCATTTGATGCGATACACAGCTACAGAAACAGCATTAAATGAACCATAAATATATTACTCACAACTTGTGAACCATTTGATATATTCACATAAGACATAGGAGCGCACATAGTAGAAACTTACTTAAGAAATAAAAAATCAACATTACCAGCTACAAGGCCCAGCAGCGTTTGATGCGGGAAATGTGTCGCTGTATACAGTCTCGAGATGCCCACCAGAATCATGAGCAATGTGTATGAGGTCCACAATGTGATTCCCAGATGGCGTTTCCTGCTGTCATCTATCCTCTTGCTGGACATGAGGAATGTGTGAATAACATGCTGCACTATGACATACATGAGTGATGAGGCTCCCTGCACGTGACCTGATGGGGAGCCAGGACCAGTTTCGCATGTTAGTGGAGTCTGTCGCAAGTGTGGCCGAGGCCCCTTGCCATATATATCTGTCTCGTGCACCCACCAGAATGGCCGATGATCCATGAACAACCTATGTGCATATGACAACATTTTTGAACATGCACACTGATGTAGCAATACCCATCTAGGATTATATTCAAAAGGTAACTGGTTGAGATTTTGGCTGGTTCATCAGCTGTCCTAACTGGGGTTTTCATGGTTTTCCTCAGTCCCTTCACGCATATACTGGGTCAGCAGTATTAAATATACCACAATTAACTTGAGTATTATGGTGTCCGGGGTTGTATATTAAACTGGTTCAAATCATATCTGTTGGATAGAAAACAGAGAGTGTACATTAAAGCTAATGACAGTCAGGACTATTTTTCATCTTGGGAAAGAGTTAAGAAAGGGGTTCCTCAGGGGTTGGTTTTGGGACCACTTCTATTTATTATTTACACTAATGATTTGCCTCCATATACAATATACAGTATTAATAAACTGGATAAAGTTTTTCTTTTTGCTGATGGTACCAGTATTTTGGTTCCCGGTAATAATCATGCTGGGCTTAAGCATGAAGTCATGGGTACACTGTCTCTTGTTGTAAATTGGTTCACAGCTAATAAGTTTGCCTTAAATATCACTAAAACTAATATTATTAGATTTGCTCTAAAACAGTCTTATGACTCTCTGGCAGTTGCTAGTGGGAATTTGTTTATGAATGAAGTTCCTGTGATAAAATTTTTGGGTCTGCAAATTGATAAGAATTTGGATTGGAAGAGTCATGTAGAGTATATTCTCCCTAAACTTAGTTCAGCTATTATATTATTATATTTAAGCATCCTGCTGCACTCCACACGATAAACGATACAAACTCCGTCCTAAGTGCAAACAATATACATTTATATGTCTTTGATCTTGTTCCTTCTACACTACATGTTTCGGCCTCTATCGGCCATCATCAGGTGTATACTCTTAACGTTGCTGCCACACTGAACCCAGTCTAAAACTTAACATTTAAAAACACAATGTCACGTTCTTCGTATTATCAACATCTACATCGTTGATATGTGTCTGGTATGTAGATTATGTTGCACACGTCNTTTTAGACTGGGTTCAGTGTGGCAGCAACGTTAAGAGTATACACCTGATGATGGCCGATAGAGGCCGAAACATGTAGTGTAGAAGGAACAAGATCAAAGACATATAAATGTATATTGTTTGCACTTAGGACGGAGTTTGTATCGTTTATCATTAGTTCAGCTGTTTTTGTAATTATGAGTTTACCTTATTTTATGAATAAAATTTTTTTTACGAATGGTGTATTTTTCTTATTTCCACTCTATTCTTAGGTATGGAATAATTTTCTGGGGCAACTCAACAAATAACGTTAGAGTTTTTCAATTACAAAAGAAAGTAATGAGGATTATATTTGGAGTGGGACCTAGAGACTCATGTAGGGATCTTTTTAAGAAATTGAATATACCATTGAATGACCCATTGTCATGTGAATACATTCTCTTACTGATGATGTTTGTGATTGATAATCAAACTAAATTTTGTTCAGGTTTAGATGTTCATGGTTTGAATACAAGAAATTAAAAGCAATTATATTTTCCAAACTCGAATCTTTCTGCTTTTCAGAAAGGTACTATGTTTACCGCTATTAAACTATTCAACAGATTGTCCATAACCATTCAAAGCCTTAAAGAGGATATAATTAGTTTTAAAAATAAGCTGTCTTTATATCTTATGAATAATTCCTTTTATACAGTTTCTGAATATGTGGAGCATAACATAAATAATTAGTTTTAATTATTCTGTTGTCTGTGTGTTTTTTGATATGACGACCTTCATGTCCGTTTGGTTTGGACTTATGAAATGAAATGTATGTATGTATGTATGTATGAGGGGGTACCCAAAAGAAATCAAACTTATTTTTTTAAACTTATTTATTCAAATTTTAAGCATAAACCTTCAATCCCCTTGAAAGTACTCTCCACTTACACTAATACACTTGTCTAGTCTTTTATTCCATTTTCCAAAACATTGTATAAATTCATCTTTTGAGATGCTTGACAGCGCCTCCCGTCGTTTTTTCCTTCACCTCAGCAACATCAGCAGAACGCTTTCCTTTCATGTCTCTTTTCATTCGAGGAAACAAAAAAGTCGGGACTCTTCTTTCAAAGCACAGCATGCTTTCACGCGACCTTGTTTTTGTTCAGCAGTCAGCAGTCATGGCACGAATTTTGCAGCCACCCTTTTCATTCCCAAATCTTCTGTAAAAATTCGCTGAACTGAGCTCCAAGTCACTCCCAGCAGCTCCACAATTTCTTCAATGGTCCGTCGTTGATCTTCCTTGATGATTTCACGAATTTTTTCAACATTTTCATGTGTTCGGGCCATGGAAGGACGACCAGAACGAGGTTTGTCATCAATTGACATTTCACCATTTTTGAAATGGGAAAACCACTCAAACACTTGAGTTTTCCCCATAGCATCGTCCTTGTACGCCGTTTTTAAAATTTCAAGAGTTTCTGTTCCACTTTTCCCAAACAAAAAGCAGAATTTCACCGCCGCACGCTGTTCACGAAAATCAGCCATTGCAAAAACGACGATCACACAAAACAGTTGTCACTATAAACTCTGCTGAAACTAGTCCTTACCTTCTGAAGCAACGGTAGCCGGCTTATCGACTCAGGAATGTTAGCTCTATGCGCTCATAGCTGCAAAACGCAGTACTACAAAAGCTCTGCCCACAAAAAAATTAGTTCTGTTTCTTTTGGGTACCCAATCGTATGTATGTATGTATGTTCAAGATACTTGTACACTCAAAATTCAGGATTATCTTCTGATCTCTTTTAACATTATATAAACTCTGCAGTTGAAAGTGTCACTAAATAGCCTAGAATCAACAACATTCCATACCTTTCATACAGCATGTATAAAAAATTTCCTCCAAGTTTTACAAAAACAATTTGGGGTATGTATTCTTGCCTGAACATTTTCACATTAGGGCCCACAGGGATGTAGAATATCTGGTGAACACCACTGTTTTTTATCTGCATAATCACTAATTTGTTATCTTAATAAGCAAGCATACTCAGAGCTTTTAATTTGCAGTACAAAACAGTGCACTACGGCGACACATTTTTATAAAACTCAAAAATAAAAATGTTAATAAAACGTAGTGAACAAAGACTTAAATAATTATTTAATAAAACGTTAAAATGTTAATAAAACATAGTGAACAAAGACTTAAATAATTATTTAAGTCTTTGTTCACTACGTTTTATTAACATTTTTATTTTTGAGTTTTATAAAAATGTGTTATCATTATGTGTATGTGTTATCATTATAATGATAACACATTAATTCCAACTTGAGTTTATAATCTGTGTTAATTCTGAACATATAAGTTCTACTTTTTGCCAACAAACCTGAGAAGCGTTGCCTTCTTTCTTAAAAAAAAATATTGGACTTAACCATACAAAAGTACACATATTTGTCTAAGTGAGTGTACAGTTGCTTATGGTTCCATAATAGACCCTGTCTACTCAAAAGTTATAAAAATTACTGACTGTTGTACAAAGCAGTGTACTGAATCTGAAGGCATAGGGCTGCAACTGATTCATTATACTAAAAATTATGACAGGGGTTGGCTCTGGTTCTGTCTCCACATGTTAGATGTCATTATACTATCACATTTTTATGGAACATGACTATAGATGGGTTTTGGATTGTTCTGATTTACTGAACTTTTTGTTACAGCACATGACTACACATTATAATTCATTATTATTACACAAAAACACACACACCAGTGTCCACAGTCATGTCTTCACTAGCTGTTGCTTGGCAGTGGCTTTCATTAGCACATTCCCCTTCCTCTGGGTTCCCAAATTCTCCCTGGCCTCAGATACCAGCTTCTCACAGTAACAGCTCAGAACAACTCAGAACCAGTAGTTACCTGATGAACTCATCCACTCACCAACTAACCAACCAACCAATTCAACACAACTTAACTGACATTCACTAACTGTCCTGCTTATAACATTTTGGCACGGACTGCACAGAAAAAACCATTCCTCTGTTGCTGTTTGCGGGCCATTGCCTAGTAACGGCCACTGTCTAGCTGTCTGTTCCACGGTCACTGCCTACCAGCAGGTTTACATGCTACAATCTCACAAAATATTTATCATCACAATTCTACAATTCTTACACAACGCATAATTTCTTTCACAGATAATATGGAAATATCACTGGATAACATCCTATGTGGAGGCACTTTAGAATACCTCCACCGTTGCCTTGCAAGTAGATGACAATGAAAAGGGAAACCAGTGCCTGGGGGTATAACTGAGTCACCCTGCCACTGTGGGACATAAAATACAGAGAACCTAGTCTTCCAGGTTGGGGGTTGGATGTAAGGCTGATAACCTTGCTCTGTAAAATAAAATGTTGAAAAATCCAAAGAACTGAAATCAGATGGTCTAACTGACAACTGAACAGTCAAGTCTGGCAGAATCTTCTAAGGCAAGGCTATGGCTCAAAAAGGGGCTTTACTGATAATAATCACTGAACAACAACTGGGCACATATAACATGCATCCCACATTTTTAAAGCATTTATATGAAAATACGAGGAAATGACTGAAAACACCATAACAAATGTTATATAATATTCATTTAGTTATATGTTCAACTGCTATTTCGAGGGAAGGACAGAAGTATTTTATGAAGTAAATGTTTTAGGTGAGAAGAGATTATGATGGTTTGGATATTTGTGGTATCAACTTTGGGAGGAAGTGTGTGTGCAAGCCTCTCTTTTTGGACACTCCTCAACTTCAAAACCCCCTGCTGGCTTCTAGAGTCATCACGAAACACCTTGCACAAGCCATTGGCTGAAGACAACTGGGATGCTATGGGATGTGCCCAGACTTTCTTACGTAAAATTGTTGTGGGCAGTTGAGTCTTCTTGCAAGCCAGAAGCAGATGTATACAACAATGCATGAGAAACAGTGTGCGCTGTGAAAGGTTAATTCACGTGAACAAGAATAAGTTGGTTACTGACAGTGAGACAGTGACTGCTCTGAAACACAACAAATGTCACAGTAACATGGATGGCCAAGTTATAAGCACAAAATACAGAGAGAAGTTTGATGAAGAAAATTCCTGGATACTTCTCTGATAAAAATCCAAAGGAACATGAATGGATGACACCAGAATGGATCCTACAAAGACAGCTTGTAGATGGAGTGTAGAAATGTGTCTAAGGATGGATTGTGGTGTTAAACATTCACACTCTACTACTGGTGAGTTAGTTAGCTCTGCAGATCTTCAGTTAATACTTTCGAGCAGTTCCAGAAAGACAGGCGCTGTTACTTCCCCCCACAGTTGTTCACATGAATAAGTGTACTGCAGGAAAAAATTTTATGTGACACTATATTTTGCTATCCTACCATGACAAATTCAGATGACTTTCAATCCTAGAGTACTCCTTACTGAACAAGTTTGCTGTTATTAGGTTATGTTAGGTCACATTATCATACTTTATGCGTGATCAAAACCATATTCAGCAGTTCTGCTGGTGTAAGAGGTAACAAAAAGCACAGGGACCACTGATTGAACACACTTTACAAAACTGCATACATCTTGAACTGAGGTTGTTAATTTATTATATATGTCTTCCTGTAGGGGCAAAAAATGTGATACTTACCATTTGAGAAGTGTATTGGACCACTCTGCCATGACAGACACCATCAACATGTCAATTGCCAAACTGATGTGCACCACAGCAGCCACTGGTATCAGGAGTGTATATGAATACAAGGGATCAGAAAAGCGAGAAATTGAAAAGAAAAAATTATCACCTCTAGGAAAGCTGAAACAAACAGACATGTAAATTATTACCTACATTCGCTTTTTTTTTTTGTATTTACTGCGCGATAATGTTTTAGAATTACAAAATTCTGCATTAATCTCATGACTTGACCTGAGAAATTTCGGCACTTACGTCGTCTGAATGGCTTTAATACCTGAAGTTCCCAATCTTCTGACTTCCTCTGATATATTCATCGTACACATGTCCTGAAAACAGAAATAACATACATTTAAATACCAAATTATATACATACCTGTTTAAGAACTTCCATTTATTTATTAATGTACCTTAATGTCGGTAACAACGGAATGTTCTTTCCAACGGATGAAATCAAACACTCCTACAAGGTCTTCTGTATTGAGTAAACAAACATCCTAAACAACGGAAGAAATTAACCCTTCGACAAAGTATTCCTTATTCCGTCCGAACGCTGGATATGTAAGAGTGTAGCTCCGGCGAGAGTTGAGATGTGACTTTGACTCTGACTTGAGATCACAAATACAACAGTATTACAAGCATCACAAGGATCACAAGTGCCTCAAGAGATTCTGAATCTTATACTCACAGTTTTGGATTCGACTCTAGCGAGATTGAAGCAGGTTGTGCTCAGACTTCGCAGAAGAGCGTAAAATAAAATAATTCGTTCCGGTCCGAAGATCCATGGAATTTATTCATGTCGCGTCACACAGCCGACACCTTACAATATTTATTCATTCTAAGTCTGAAGACATTTCCAATGAAATTCCCAACGTCGGACAAAACTTCACTTTCTCGCCTATATTTTGCTATTCAAACATCTCGTAGCATTTATCAACTCACTCAAACTCATTCCCCGCCAATGTAACCGCCATAACGTCGCGAATGTATTATGCTGCCATCTAATTGTAGAGTTCAGGCTAGCGTTGCAAATTGGCCGTAGCCACTGCCGTGAGCGGCCGAGAGTTCAGTCGGTGAAAAGGTCCACTACACTAGACATGCGTAACAAAATTAATATAAATAGGATGCAACAATACCGAAATTAGTAACATTGCAGTAACATTGCTGCATATTCGATCAAAGCATGGGCTGTGGAGTCACAACAGCCAGCCGTTACTAGGCAGTGACCCATAAACAACAATAGAAGAATGATGTTATCTGTGCAGTCCATGTTGATAGCTGTGCCTGCAACAATGGAGAACTTTTCACAATGTGTCTTCACTGCATTTCACTACACCCACAATTCTTATGTCCTGCCACATACATTCTTCCCATCTCAATCTTGGCCTTCCCACTTTCCTCTTTCCTTCTGGTTTAGTATTAAGTATTTTCTTAATCATTCTATTCTCGCCAGCACGTATTGTGTGTCCAGCCCATTCAAGCATTTTCACCTGTATAAATCCAATAATGTCTGGTTCATTAAATAGTTTGTATAGCTCATGGTTATACCTCTTCCGCTACATTCCATTTTCTTCCACTGGTCCAAAAATATATCTTAGGATCCTCCTTTCAAATATACTTAACAGTCTTTCATCTGATCTTGACAGTGGCCAGGTCTCAGAGGCATAAGATAGCACTGATCTTATAAGTAGTATACATCATAGTTTTGGTTTTCCTGGGTATTAGTTGGGATTTCAGGTGTTTCCTGAGGCCATGGAGACATTTATTTGTGGCAAGTACACGCTTTTTTATTTCATCACTGATGTAATTTTTACAGTTAACTTCTGATCCAAGGTAAGTAAAACTATATACAACCTAAAATTTATATGAGCCAATTTCAATATATGCAGGTCCATTAGCACAGTCTTTCTTGGTTACCGGCATGTACCTTGTTTTGTTTTGGTTAATTTGTAGATTCATCTTTTTTGCTGCTCTTTCCAAATTAAGAAAAGCTTCTTTCATAGATTTTTGTGTTCTTCCAATTATATCAATATCATCTGCAAATGCCAAAATTTGGACTGACTTATAGAATATAGTTCCCCTTGTGTTGATGTCTGCATCTCTAACTACCTTCTATAATGCTATATTGAACGAAAGGCAGGCTAGGGAATCCCCTTGTTGAACTCCATTTCTAGTTATTATAGGGCTGGACAACATATTCTGAATCTTAATTTGGCATTGGGTCTTTCTCATAGTGACTCTGACTAAGGTGATTAATTTCCATGGAATGTGCATCTCTCCCATTACCAGAAAAAGACTATCTCTATCTATGGAGTCACAGGCTGATTGGAAGTCAATGAAAAGTTGATGTCTTTCAATTTGGAATTCGTTACACTTTTCAAGGACCTGGTGATTAGTGAAAATCTGATCGTTAGTTGATCTTCCTTGATGAAACCCACATTGGTAATTCCCAATTATGCCTTCCACAAAGGGAGAGAGTCTGTTAAATAGAATTCTGGAAAATATTTTATATGCTATGCACAACAGACTAATACCAGCCCAGAATTGATACATGAGGGTTATTCGGAAAGTGAGCTCCAGTAAGCTGTTAACAAAATAAGCAATGAGAAAAAAATATTGTTATGTACAAAAAATACATACATACTTAAGATACTTCTCAATGTAGTCACTGTTGGAACTGAAACAATAGTACTGGGGATTCAGTTTTTATATGCTTGTGTCAAAGAAGTCTACAGGCTGTGAGCTCAGCCACATTTTGGCATCTTCCATAAACTCATTATTGCTGAAGCACTGTGGTCTCAACCAGTTCTTCAGATAGGTAAACAGGTCGTAGTTACTTGGAATGAGATCAAGGATGTAAGGAGGGTGGTCATACAACACACATTTCAAATGCTCCAGCAGTGCTTAAGTGCATGCTGCTGTATGCGGTTACCCATCGTTATGGAGGAGCACTATACAGGTTATCAACACCATGCCTTTTATTCTGAATGACCCTATGAAGTTTTTTAAGTGTTTCACAGTAAACTTCTGATGTTACTATGCTCACTTATTACATGAATTCCACCAACAGCACTCTTTTTCTGTCCCAGAAAATAGTTCCTATCAGCTTACTAGCAGACAGACATTTTATGTAGAAAGCAGTCTTCTGGAATGTGGTGCCCTGTAGATATTGTGTTAACCGACGTTTCGGAGGAACGTATCGCTTCCATCTTCAGGGTAGAAGAAAACGAACGCCGTGAAAACCTCAAATCTCACAGAGAGACATTTGTTTAAACTTTTTTGGTGTGTGCATCCACTGCTTTGACTGCTCACAGATGAAACCTAGGTTTCATCACATGTTACTCATAAAATGTGACTGAAAAATTTATCTCCATCTCTGTTAGTACCCAAAAAAGATGGTGCCACAGCCATTCTCTACAGTTTGTATGCAAACATGAGAATTTTTGGAACCCATCCTGCATAAAACTTGTGATGTCCTAGCCTAACTGTGATAATCTCATAGAGAAGAGTGTGCAATATTTGTTGAATTTCACATGAAAGTTCTGCACCATTCTTTTTTTAGAAAGCTTTTGCTGTAGTAGTAAGGGAAGCTCTGAGATAGAAACTGGGCAAGAGAGTCCTATCATCTAAATTCATTGAAGGCTTAAAGGAAATGTGCATGGGAATTTAAGATAAGAGTGAACTGGGGAGGCAGTTACATATGAGAGAAGTTTGATTCAAATGTTGGAGTGAGACATGGCTGCATGCTATCTCCAGCATTATTCAACATAGATGATGTACACATACTGAGATGTGAAGGAACAAAGACTGAGAGGGACATGATTTTGGATAAGTTGTTTAGGAATGTGGATGCACAAATAGATATTAGGAAGACAATAAGATCCAAAAATAAAGAGCAGTAGCAGAAATTAGAATGTTAGTAAATGTAAAGAGGAACGGGAAAGGATAATAAGTAAGGATGGGTGTGTAGTACAAATAAATTTAGATGAATGGTAACAAGTAGGGGAGAGTAATATGATATGCTTAATTAATATGTTAATGTTAGAATATAACAGATTAATTTTATACTACAGGAATTATAATTTCTGTTGGTTGCTGGAGTGTAGGATGAGAGACTCAGCACTTCAAAATGTACATTGTAATGGACCCAATAATTTATCCAAGCATTCAAGTATTCAAGGATTTGTTGCATTAGCCAGGCAGCTCTGGGGTATATGAGGCATCAAGGATAATGTCGAAGTTGGTCTGAGAATGTCAACAGCGAATTTGTGTCCTATTCAACAGCAACAAAAGATGCTACTCTTGGTCCCTGATCACAGTGATATTTAGGGCTGAAAAGGGATCAAGCAGTCCACTTCTCTGTCCGGAACTGATAGTTCCAGCCTCACCATGTGTTGTTATAATTAAGCATTGACTGACCAAGATGAACTCTGAATACGGGGCTGCCACACTAGGTATGAGATAATTAAATCTCTTTTTTGATGGGACCTTGGAAAAACTTCTGAAGACCTACTGGCTTTGGACAGGGCATTGTTCCCCCCACCAGTCAATACTCATTATTGTAATTGTGATATTGTGACATGCCCAATATTCTTACAGCGAAGTGTCGAATATTGGGTTAAAATGGAGTCTTTATGACTTTCGAACCCTTCCCTTATTGTGAACAAGATTTACCAATTTTAAACCACCCTATTATACTACAGTACATATATTTGTGTGACAGTCACTTGACTTCTCTTATGTCATATATTTTAAGCTAACTACTTGTGATTCTGGATGTGGTGCTTCTTCATAGAGTAATTTAAATCATTATTCTGGCATCTGAGGAAAATCACAAAAGGGGAATGAGGCTAAGATTTGAACAGCAGATATTCCAAAGTTGAAACACTGAATTTTATATCACTTATTGAATACTGAGAACCAAGCACTGGGCACATAAATTAGAAGTGCTACACAATAGAGTTTACTGGTGTGTGACTAATAACATTCATTTTTAATTTGAAAGTTATGATTACATAAAATGTACAGTAAATGTTTATTAAACTGAGAATTGTGTAATACAACAAAACAGAATCATTGGTAAAGCAACTTAAGAAGAAAAATCTTAGTGTATAAGAAAATCTGTTTTACACAAAGGCTTTGTAATATATTTTATGCAAGTTCACATTTTAAACAACATTTAGGAAGAATGTGCTGTTGGCAAAAAAGAAAACGAATGCAGTACTACATATTTATACACTCCTGATAGATCTGCGGTTCTTGAATCCAAACTTTTACTTGACAGCCATCTTAGTTCAGTGACCACTGCAGTAGTGAGAACTACACACTATTCGCAATCATACTGAAATTATAACACTACTACTACTTTCTGTACTTAAACATTGTTTGGCGTTAGACATAATAAATACTGGTCAGATTCTTTGATCAGCTCTAGAAATGCAATTATTCTGTGAGCTTTCAGGAAGTGTGCATAGATGGTAAAATCAAAATCTGTTACTCTGTGGTCTCTTGAGTCTTGAACAAGCATGGAAAACATCTAATTTACCATAATTGTTGGAATATAATGCACATCACAATTTTGAATTAATAAACTAAAAATATAAATATATTAAACTTCTGCTTATATATTAAATATTTTTCAAAATTTTCATTGACATTTTTAAATGTATTTTCATTATTGCAGCAGTGTAGTAGAATACAATTCAAGTTTAATGTGTAGTAAAATGCTGGTGGAGATACCATTGAAAGAGTCGTAAACAAAACTAGAAATGTGGATGTAATGTGCACTCACTTATCTGAGATGTGTTTGGAGGGAAGAAACATACAAATTTTAACAGAAAAAATACAGTCTGATGTTTTTGAAACTGCTATAATACAATTGGTAAGAATATGGGAGTACTTTTTTTTTTTCTGTAAACAGTACACTGCAATTTATGAATTAGGACAGTAATTTGTACATCATTAATTCTGTCAGCACAGGACGGATTTGTCTCAATATTTCTTGAATGAAATTACAATGATTATTTCAAGAACTATCAAAGAAAGTCTTATGTTATTAACACATTTCCTTTCTGTAAGTTTTTCTGCTGGAAAATATCAGAGATCATGTAACAATATGTCAAGTAAGATTCAAAATATAGACCTTGTGTTATGTGCCAAGTGTTAATGGGGTAAGGGGCTAAAAGCAATAAGGGTAGTTTGGGCAGGCAGCTGCACTCACTCCGGCAGGTAATTGCCGAGTGTGGAATCCATGAAGAGGGCCCACTGGCAAGTAGTTGCTGCAGTACGGGTAGTTGGGGCATGTTGAGGGACTCACACCAGCAGGATAATTATGAGCGGCAGCTGCATATGGAACAATGTATCCAGTGTTGCTGTGTAGGGCGAGCAGAACATTGTTGCAATGAGGGTAGTTGGGGCACAGTGCCGGGTTCAGTCCTGCAGGGTACTTATTGGCTTGGGCTACCACAGCAGTGAGAGCAGCAGCCAGCAGCACCTGACAATCAACACATGGGCAGTTTAAATATTTTTAACTCAATGGTACTTAATGACAGATAAATCTCTCATTTACATCTTTGTTTAACAACATGTACAGTTATTTTTCACTGAGACAATTTGCCAGGTTAAGCAACAATGAGCTGGGTGGCTTCACCGTCCTTTACAGGTCATCACCATCCTTGAAAGTGGGTCCTCAATGATATGAGCAAGTGTTTACCCAATACAATAGGTGTAGCTACAGGGCTCCCAGAGTCATGAGACAGAAAGATATGGTTATAAGTCCCATGGGACCTGGAACCAAAAATGAATGTGCTGGCAAGGGTCAACATCAGTTTACACGAACAAACCCAGCACAACAATCCCTGACTGTGGAGAAATCAGCTTGTAAACAGAATAAATCAATAGACAAACATGGAATGAGATTTTCAAAGAAAAAATAAATTGTAAAAGTATACGTCCTGTACTTAATAGGAGCATTAGGCAAAGGAATTATAAAAACAATTGAGGTAAATGTAAGGTAAACTTGTTTCTGTGCATAACTAATTAAGCACTACGCCATGAAGGAGTTTGCGGGGAATGGATGTATAGATACATATTTTCTTGAACTAAGCACTATGGAGTTGAGTGGTCAGCTTCACGTCCTGGCCGTTTTACCCCCTTGGAAAGAGCCCTCGGTACCCTTTGGATAGGAGGTTGGGTGGATCCCAGAGCCGGTCTGGACGATGTGGTGAGGAGAGAATTTTTGACCCTACTGAGACTCCAACTCCGACATCTCAGACTTTCAGCCCGTAACCAGTCGTTATATCGACTAGACCACCCCGGCTCCCAAGAAATAACTGAGACCAGAATTAACTCTTTCCTTATAACAATCATAAATTTAGGATGCAGCTAGTTGCTCTCAAATAATCCTTGTATTCATGAGAACTCGAAACTACGTGCTGAATGAATAAGCAGTCAGCATTAAGGCCCCAGTGTTCACTGTTACTAGACACACCAAGCAAAACTTAAGTATATGTATGGATTACTTAATTCAAGCCTCAAACGTCATAAGGTAAGAGAACAATTCATTAAAATATGCAATATCTGACTTCAATTCAGTAGAAATTCTACAATGGCTCTTTTTCATTTAGTTTTATTTGTATTAAGGAGTCTGTGGTTGGTCTGAATATGAAAGTACAGAAACTTGTTCATATTATTCCTTTTATTTAATTCTGGAACTGTAAGGCTTAAGATAAACTTGTATTGGATTTAAGTGAGTACGTCATTTATCTCTACAGGTTTTGTTCCAAATAATTTCTTTCCGATAAATATGTATGCAGAAACCCGCGCAGGTTCTTGTGTAAAATGATCATTACAGTTTTTCTGATTTAAGGGAAAATTAAAGTAGTTCAATCAATCGATATAGCCCTATTTTTATGAACCTCTTGAGAAAATCAGTTCTACAGTTCTCTATGTTTTACATGTGCACAGAAGGTTAGACCGTCAGAGGGAATTTAGCATTATCCTCCTGGTTACTAACACACCTGACAAAAAACGACATTTTGTGGCCAAGTATCCAGAATGAATAACACGATGGAAAACAGTAATGTCATACAGCTTCAAGTGTCATGAATGCTCATTATCATGTGAAGGGGAAAGCAATATATGAGCTAAAGTTTCTAAATTTGTAAAAATGGCAGGCTTCATTAACACAACATCTAAGTCACAAGAAGTTCAGAAACATATACCACGTATATATATATATTTCTTTCTTTCCTTCTCCTTTTCTTTTATTTATTTATTTATTTATTTATTTATTTATCCCATTATAAACAAGCACACAACAGTTCCTTGGCAATTTAAATTGGTGCAGAGACATTACTTGAGTCTGCCTGGGAACACCGAAGGATTTGTGTTTCCATCGTTAAATGCAGGGGACATTATTTCCTGCAAAGAGTTCAGAACGGTTAAGCTTTTGATTACGATGTCTCCAAACACATAATTTCAGTTCGTTTACGATGGTACACTAGTGAAAGGAAATAGAAATTTCATAAGAAACTTCACTTTGTTTTGTGTTAGTAGAGCGACAGATATGGAAAGTTATTCAGCTGAATGAAGATTCTCCATTTTAGTCGACCGCAAAAGGAACTCCAATTAAAATTCCGGACACCTTGTTATGTAGATAAACTTTCGTTTATCTTTAGATAAAAGTGAGATACAGCAATGATCCTTCTTCCTACGGAGCACGCCATTGTGTACCAGGGGCGTGGAGGCAAAAATTCACCCATTATAGACCTCGGAACTGGCCAGAGAATGCAGAGATTTGTCGGCTTCACTACCGAGTCACCCTTTCTTCGAGGAGAGAGTCCTCTGGTATGAATATAACAAAGAGGTTAGGTAGGCCGCATGGCCGGCAGAGAAGATAAAAATCCCTGCCCCCTTTTGTGCGGGGGGGGGGCGCAGACTCTTCAGCACAAAAAATCGCTTTACTGACAACAAACTCGGTTAAATTCTCAGAGTGAGCAGAACCTCGACAAGTTTTGCAAAATGTATCTCACGAATATGTAAGCTGTAATATCACTAAACTATTTTTGTAGAAGTGTTCAAGTTGATAAAAATCTTGAGGGTAACAAATCGTCACGTGTATCAGTGACTATTGACTATATTCTGTAAATCTAAAATTATCGCAAAGTCAGTTCAAGTTCCGATGAGGTCACTGGATTTTTTTTCCCCCCAGTTGACCTAATCCTTCCAGCCGCACTATGGCCCTGGGGTCGACTCAGCCTCTAACAGAAATTAAATAATTTTTCTGGGGAGTAAAGCGCGGCCGGCGCGTAAGGCTGACAACCTTACCGCCATCTTTGAGCCAATTGTCTAGATAATGTGGGAGCCTCGACGTCTCACAACCCTATGGGCCTCCATGGCCTGTTAACAGGGATAGCTTTATTTATTTATTTTTTACTTTACAGTAAAGCATATACTCCGCATTTATTTATGTTGTACGACGTGAAACTGATCCTTTCGGGACAAGTCCTATATTTCGCAAATCACCAAACTCATTGCATTGGTCTTGGTGTTAACTTTTGCTGCTACAAATCGGCTGCTGGGAAACCCCCTGCACAACAGACGTCACATGCGAGACCGCGTATCCACCCTACCCCTCCCATAGTTTCAAGTAAATAATTGCACATGAAGATCTATATTTAGTCAGGTAATGATTTTTGTACAACGACTTTTTTTTAAAGGAAGTGAATACAGATCGATTTTAGCTTGATACAAATCATGAGTTATTAAACACAGATACAAAACTCCTATCCAATAGGTATCGTGTTCTCTTCCTTCGGGAGTAAAGCGGCAGGGGAATGATACTGACCACTCACCTCCAACTAATGCCGAGGTCTAGAGTAAGTGGATCTATACATCCACTCCCCTATACGCCTTCATGTAGTAGTACTTAATTACTTGTAGTTCTTACACTGGGACAACTTTACCTTACCATGTACTAAAGTCACATTTGCCCTACAATTTTGGATGCCAGTCCGCAATACTTACATCATAATCCATCCAGGAATGAAATTGGGAAAATGTCTCAATTTTACTCTAATTTTATGCACTTCGTGAAAACAAATATCTGTACAGGAGAACAAAAATATGTTTAAGGCATGGAGTCTCCACAGACTGAATAAACACAGTTTAGCGTTTACTCACCAGCTTGAAGAACATGTTGACTGTTGAGATTGTGGTCTTCTGGGACAAAATAAAACCTGCCGAAGGGACTCGTGTGACTTCGGAGAAGCAATTGCTGACTTCCAATGAAATGTCTACAGGTTTTATACTCAGCACAACACCATCTTACTAAATCCACAAAGAAAATAATAAATATCTCCAATATAAAAAAGAAAATATTCAATAAGAATAAAAGTCGAATGTAAGACCACACGAATCCCCCACCTGCAGTATCCGCCCCGCTCCGTGCCTCCTGTATTACCGTGTGTCTACACGGCAGGGGAGATCTGCAAGCTCCCAAATCAAGGCATCTAATAACGAATTTATGTCGGCAAAACATAAGCCACAATTTACTTACAGTTTTTATGTATCCCGATCTGATGACAGGGACATCAGATTGATGTTAGGTTCAACGGGGACATGCATGCAAAAACTGACTTCACTCTATAAACATGTGGAAGACAGAAGGACAATACCAAAATTGGTGCCAGTATAGCTGATGTGCGTGTCAGATGGATTGAATTGGCACAGATTAGAGGTTAGCGAACACAGTAATAAGATTTCTTGCACAAAGATCGATAACAATTTTGCCTCTGAACGATTATCGAATTTCTAAGCATACGTCAAGGACACGATGGACAGAAATTGTAGGAATATGATCCTTGTGATTGCTGGAGGGTTCAAATAATACATTTTTTTATACACTTCCAACTGATCTTCTAATGATGCTGTCAGTATCGAAAGTAGGCCTATATTACGTCGGATGACAGAATGATCAATGGACTGGGAGCAGCTAGAGGAACAAGAATTTGCAGTACCACTTTTTTTCACCACAAATCCCACATGACCTGACCTGGCATATAACCCAGATAGCCGTGATGAAAATCCGGCGACTAACTGCCTGAGCCATGACACGGCCTGTGTACAAGATGTTCCAGAAGAAAGAGAGTGATGGAAGACAGAATATACAGTGTGAGAGAGAAAGAAGAGCAGAGGAATGCGGGAAAGTGCATAAATAACTTCAGTGTTTGTACTAATTACCCAGTATTTTGGAGACGTTTAAATACAGAAGGAACAGAAGGCCGGGACATCATACACTGAATATATACAAAAAAAAAATCGGTAAATCATTATTATTTCCCACTCCACGTCTGTTTGACTCCTTGCAAACTCCCGAAAGTTATATAAGCGGCTATGATTGTTCAGTTTGGTTTCTAATTATACGATGATTGTTAGATTGAAAATGTTTGGATGGAAGCCGTCCTGGCCTAATTGACATATTATCCTGGTATTTGCTTCGAGGGACTGAGGAAAAGTGCGAGAATCTTCAGACTATTCCATGTTCCAGCCGAGATTCGAACAAATCACCTCCATAATACAAGTCTAGAGCGTTAGTGTTATACCTTCCTGCTCGGCACATGCTACTTAATTAAGTTTCTGAGAACAAAATAAAATTTGCACACGGCAAGAAAATAACTTAACCAGTTTGATTTCCACATCTTTCCTTCTCCTGGGAATGCAATCTCTATTTTCAGTGATATCTTACTTATGTACATGTTTTTATTTTAATTTCCCCTATTTTCTTGCCAATCTTAATCATCTACGGATATGAAACGCGTTTCAGGAGAGTTTTGAACTACAAAATATGTCCCAATCGTAATCACTGTCAAGCGGGACTGTGAGGGAAATCTGTGAAACGCCGTTACATAATGTGGTTACGGTATGAACAAGGGTGACAACGGCGTATGCTTCCCACATCAATTTGCTGCTTTGAATCGATTCAATAAATTTCTCGTAAACAACTTGGGAATGTGTCTGTATTTCTTAAGAATACGTGGTTAGAACATAAATACCAGAGCCTTACAGGTAGATATCATTGGCTGTTCTCTCAGTCACGTATAGTCAACGGTTATGTGGCATCGGAAGTTTCATAAATATATGTCACAAGTCTGTGGCAAGTTCTCTTACAATGGACGGCAAAGTGGAGGCAAACTTAACGCTATTGTTACCTCTGGAATTTTATATATGAGATACAAATTTCCCAAATAATTGCAGAAACTAAAGATCTGAACTATGTCCGAAATAAGGGTATATCAAGTAAGACGGAAGAGCGAATGAAATACTTCAAGATCGTTTGTGGCTGTCACTGTTTATCGCATCCAAAATTGAAGTGAACGTCAAAATCATGAGTGTATGTATTTTCTAACGCTTCCATGTGGTAGTTCTGTCAAATAAACATTATTGCATTCCGAGAACATTTGTAGCAAGTCATACTGGCCACTGTCATCTCAACAATTGGAAAAGCAGGAAAAGTTAATTCAGTGCTGATTTTCATATGCTCTTTTTTTTTAAATCGTTCTCTGTATTTTTTATTGACGGCACAATTCGATGCCAAATACGTCTTTCGTTTTCATGTGGATAACTTTATGAAGCTGTCAATGCCCAGACTAGTATTTTTCTTTATTGCTAGTGAGGTGGGACTAAGTCCCTTGTACTGTGGCCACTTCTGGCCTACTGTACCAGCCCCAGATGATAGGTGAGGGTGATTGTGGAGCAGTTGGTGGAATGAAGATTGGCAGGGGAAACCGAAGTACTCGGAGTAAACCTGCCCCATCGCAACTTTGTCCACCACAAATCCCACTTGACCAGACCGGGGATCGAACCCGGGGCGCCGCGATAGGAAGCCAGCTACTAACCGCTTGAGCTATGGCGCTAACGTCCAGACTAAGAATACAATGTGTCTAAAGGTAGCGTATATAATGTGTGTAGAAGTATAGCAGTCTACACAACAATATTCTGTATTTAAAAATAAGGTACTCGTAGACACTACTGTATCACTATTTATTTTTATTGACACTACATGTTTCGACGCCGGTCACGGTAGCCGAGCGGTCTAAGGCATGTACTGTCTTCGCTCGCTTGGAAGGCGGGATCGTGGGTTCGAATCCCACTCAGGTGCATGGATGTTCTGTTTGTGTGTGAGCGTTTTTCTGTGTTTGTTTACAGGTAGAGGCCTTGCGACGAGCTGATCACCCGCCCAAGGAGTCCTACCGAATGTGTAAGATCTAGAAAAACCGAAGTGAACGGAAACGTTCATGGAAGTAGGCCTAGGCCCGCTGGAGCTGTAGTGCCAAGGAAAAAAAAAAACATGTTTCGACCCCGATACTGGGTCATCATCAGGGGTAAAATGGTGTCAGTCTCAGTTATTGAACTGCATCTAATTCTTCAATAAGGATTCTTATTGTGCTCTTGAGAGTTTTTAAATGCATAAATTGAGTCTTTCGGTTAAAATTTTAAATACTTAGATAATAAAACTAAAGATTAAAGATTAAAATATAAAAATTAAAATTGTACTAAAATGGAAATGAAGTATTTACCGATAAATCTCTTTAAAAATTTGTGACCGCTACGTGTTGACGTGAGTTCCTGATGGTAGAAGCGACTGCAGTGTGCGGCGCCTGCGCATCGGGATCCTCTCACGTGAGTCAGGTCGTGTGGTCTTGACCGTCTTGACCTTACTATCGTCTTGTGGAACTTATGCTCGTTATTCTGTATGTCACCAAACAGGTTGTTTACTAGGAGTCATGTATTATATATTAGATTTTCTTATGATGATATGTTTATGGGCCGTTCCGTGTGTTAATGCTGTTGCTATGTTGTAGTGGCTCGGTTACTCTCAAGAGCACAATAAGGATCCTTATTAAAGAATTATATGCAGTTCAATAAGTGAGACTGACACCATTTTACGCCTGATGATGACCCAGTATAAGGGTCGAAACATGTAGTGTCAGTAAAACAAATGTTGATACACTAGTGTCTATTTTGTTTTTAAATACAGATAATTGTTGTGTAGACTGCCATACACATTATGTACCCTACACACAACAGGATGAATACTATTAAGGTCGAAATGTAGGTTAGTTGATGATGTGGCAAAGATTTGAAAGGAAACGATCGTGGGTTGGTCAAAATATAATCCCGGAGTATGGTAAGAGTGGCTGAGGTAAATCACGAATATCTTTCACTAGGATAACCTGTGTTGCAGCAGAGATTAGAAAAAAGGGCACACACTCGAATATAAGATTAGTGCGTTACCTCTAGGTTAACCTGCTCTGTTTCTTTCATTTTACCTTGGTCGTAATGAAGTTTGTGGCAGAAATTAAGAACAGATGGACACGATATCTATCCCTTGTGTCTCATTAACAAGTAAACAGAGACAGGAACAAGCGTTGATTTTGTGGTTTGGAAGTGACATACGAGAACGTACTACATTTATGTACGGGATTTTTTTTTTTCGTTTTCTTTGCCTTAGGCTGTACTCCTGTGGCAGAAGTAACAAAACTGCAGTGTTTATGTATGGGTACAAAATGATTAAATCGCATTTCTTCCAATATCCATCACATTCAGACGCGTAGAAACCAAATATTTCAGTTTATTTTCAATCCTACATCTCATGTGACGTACCCTATTCTGTACGATAATTCACGTTTTGAGAATAATCAGTACATTTCAGTTAAAAAATTGCACCCCTCGGAGAATATAGGTTTCACGCACGTTGAATAGAAACCAAAATTAAAATAACCCAACTGCGTTTACTGTGGACCATACTTTCGTATTTATTTTAAATCTTTTCAGTAATTCTGGAGACTTAATATCCGGACAGGTAGAGAAGAAATATCCATTATTCATTCATTTATGTATTTAATGTGAAGGAAGCATGAGAATTGTACTCGAAAGCCTTCCTTGCGTTTGTTCGTCCAACAGTCCAAGCTCTTTGAAGGGCAGTCGTGAAAAAAGAAATCATCTGTTTTAATGTATTTAGGGTGTTTGCACCCGTAACTTGAGTCGTAACTACATGAGATTTGTAAACAATCCACATCCTTGGAACAATTCCATGCTAATATTAATTGTATTGCTCATAATTTTATCAAAACTTTATCTATATATGATCATAATTTTGTAAAGGCTTCCTTGATTAATTTTATTATATTTCCGTGAAAGTCACGATTGTATAATATCGACCAATATTTTATTTTTGTCCACACAATTATATGTATTTATAAATGCATATGCTTGCACCGAATGCATGCTAGATACTATTAGCGAATTTGTTGTTCAAGTTGAGAAGATAGCAAGAAAACCATGGGTTACACAGGAGATGATGAGTAAAATGGAGGAGCTAAGGAAATGGAAGAATGTAAACAATGAAGAAGCCAGGAGGAAATACAGGAGACTGAGGAATGAATTGAAAATAGCCACGGACAGGGCCAAAATGGAATATCTTGAGAAGATATGTAATGAGATTATAGAATTTCAAAGGACAGGGCGTTAGGATTTGATGTACATGAAGACAAAAGAACTAGAATGGAAAGAGAATCATTGGATTTAAAATATTGGCATCGAAGACTCCCAGGGGAATAGAATAGTAGATCAGAGGCAAGTGCTGAAAATTTGGGAAAATTATATTTCAGAACTATATGATCGACCTAATCGGCCAGAAACCTTAGAAGTTGAACCGGAAGAAGAAGTAGATACAGACGAGAAAGGACCATATATTTTACAAAGTGAGGTGGAAAAAGCTATCAAGGAAATGAGGAAGGGAAAGGCTACAGGAGATGATGATGTACCTGGAGATGTGCTTAAGTTACTGGGAGAAGGTGGTTTGAAAACACTGACAAAACTAATGAACACCATATATGAAACTGGGGAGTGGCCCAAGGGCTTTACAGAAGTGACAATGATTGCCTTAAAGAAAAAGACAAAA